TGGCAACGGGGCGGGTCAGGGGCTGGTTTAAGCACCCCCAGACCCGTATCTGCCACCCAGACCCAGACCCAGATCCACCCCCGCCCCCAAACCCAATCGAGGCTAATACTTGTTCCCCCGCCCGCGCCCCCAATAAAAAACGGGTTTTCCCGCACTCGCCCTACACCCGCCCGAATAAAATAATAACTTTTTAAAATTTATACTTTTTTCAATAAAAATAAAAATTAATAATTAAACTAAATAGTTAATTATTTTAACAACATTTTTTATGTTTGATATTTTTATTTAAATTGTATTTTTCAAAAAAAATAATAATAATAATTCTAACAAACATGATATTATAATATTAAAAAGTGTAAATGAGTAATAAAACTATTAAAAATAAATAAAATTAATTAAGTTTAGTTGCCAGATGTGGGGCGGGTGCGGGTGCAGGGCAGGTACTAGCATCACTCACCCCTGCACCCGCACCCGTAAATGAAAACCGGGTTTTCCCCACACCCGCACCCGCCCCTGGTTAAACCGGGTTTTCCCTGCTAATTTCAGGACGGGGGCGGCTGGGGCCCGGTGAGAGCGGGTTTATTTGCCATGCCTATTTTCAGGCGAAGGTGAGATTGTAGGAATAGGTTTACCTTTTTCATCAAGATTTTTCTTGCTAGCCAAGGTCCTAGTGCAATAATAAACAGGAAAAAAACTCTGAAAAAGTTGCAACATCTGCATCAGGGACATGCATTGGATCCATAAATGCGTATGTTTCACCAGAAACAGTCAAGGGTATAAGTACATGAGATTCATAAATTTAAGTTTTCTCTTCAAGAAGGGGAGGCTCTGGGACGTATTATTGGTTCCCTATCTGTATGGGTTTAGCAATCTGGACAATGGGATGAGAAGCATTTTGTTGTTGTTGCTGCTTGAAAGCTTTTGTTATTTTAGGCGCCATTGATGAAGTTTTGAGGATGAGAGCTTGAAGATTGTTGAAGGTTGAAGAATAAGTGTAAAAGTTTTATTTCGGTTAAGAAAAGCTTGGAATACTGAAAAGTGTTGAATGTTTAAGGTTGTTGGTTTTTATAGAAAGACACCAAGTTGCTTTATATTGCATTTGAATGATGAATGCAAAGTGAGTGGTACACATGGATGTTTCTGACAAAAGATAAAAGCGATTGTGCAAGTTACCACCTTACTTCTAGTTTATAGGGGTAATTACCATTAGTTGTTGTGCACGTCTTTATGAGACGTTAGGGGAAAATGGTCATTATGACCATGACGTCAAGGCAACGTTGGCAGTTAGCATCGAAAAGTCTTGTCAAAAATTCCTTTTTCTAAAATTGTCGAAAAGAAACATTTTTGGGGGGCAATGTTATAATTTCTATGCTCCAACGAATAAAGGATTCAAAGGATATTCGAAAGACAAGTGTGGGATGATGAAAGCTGATTTCCACATGAAGTGTTAGAAGACACATTTTTGACCGATTCTACACGGACGAAACAATGTAAGGGGAATGACTTAACAACATTTTTGAAGATATTCGAAGCGGGTTTGACCCATATTCAAATGAGGCTATAACTGATTTTAGCACTTATCGGATCTTTAAAAAAGAAATATGTGGAAGCTTGTGAAATGCCAGAGACATGCAAGCGAGAACGTTTCATTCTCTAAGAAGGAGACCGTTCACTATCGTTAATTTCGAATTAGTATATATAAGAGTTTTTATGTTAGAATTTGGTGTGTTCACTTCTTTGTACAAATTACTCAAAATAATTCAAAGTATCAAGTGTTCGAGAAACGAGTTGATGGGAATGTACATATGAAACACCAATTTTATATTCAATGTTTTTCATTTTCAATCAAATTCCTTTATATTCTCTTTAAAAGTCAAAATTACTTTACATTTCAGTCTTTACTTTAAATCATTTTATTATTACTTTCGAAGTAACAATCTTTATCGAAGATATTTACACTAAAAAAACATAGAAAATACAAAACATGCACTTATGTTCTAGGATCATTCTAATCGATTCTATAAGTAACCAAAATCTCTAAGATTTGCAATACTAGCATTTATTTGCCAAATTTCACGGTAAACAGTTTCCCGCTAAAACTATTATTTAAATTCTCAAAAGAGATTATAATCTTCACTCAATGATCAAGAGCAACAAATGGACACTTGAATCATGAAATTTTGGACATCGAGAGTTTCACACTCTAGAAACCACTCGTTAGAACTTTACAATCTCACACTTAAAGATATTGGGGTTCAAAGAGTTTATACATTTCACTTGTACTCATTCATGATCATAATGATTGCTTATGCAAATCATGTATTTAGCTTAGAGGTTGCAGAAATTATCTTTCTACTCGATTCAACCTTCAATTAAAAGGTGCTTAGTCTTAAGATTCATGTGTTGTGGTATTGTTGTCATGATAGTATTCTATTTTAGTTTGAGCCAAATGAAAATGAGTAAGGAGAAATTGACAAATTTCACCCATAAAATCAAATTTAATAAAAAATACTCATTAAAAAGGACATATCTTTCGAATTTGTAGATAGGGGTGTTTATGGATACAGGCCAACCCGCTAACCCACTTATCCAATCTAACATTTATTTTTACCCAATCCAATCATGTACGGGTCCAACCAGAATCAACCCATTCAAACCCAATAGTATTTGGTTCGAGTAACGGGTTGAAAGTTTTAAATCCACAAACCCGCTAACCCAACCCATTAAGATGTCATTTTTTTATTTTATTTATAAATTATCTAGCGTAATTCTTACAATGCATATTTTTCAAATCAAATTTGACGGGTCAAATTTCTTTATTCAAAGAGATATATCTTACCTTTTAAATTATACTCCATGCGGCCATTATTATAAGCAAATATTTTTTTTAGATTTAGTGAGTAATGAATGTATCTGATCTACATAAAAGGCTAAATACATTCATTATTCAATGAACCTTAAAAAAGAATTTTTACTTATAATAATGACTTGAGTTGTACTTTGCATCATTTGTATATTTTTTTTACTTGACCTGAATCATAAAAGAGTTTAGATATTAAACGATGATTTTATTTAAATTAAATACTAAAATTTTATGATTTTTTAATGTTTTTATAAAATAAATACGTTAATAAAATTGATATTTTATTTAAAATTTAAAAATTATATTTAACGGGTTATCCACGAATATAATTTATTGATGAGTGTATTGGTTTGGTTTGAGTTAGTTTTAAAAGTACAAATTTAACACTCAATTCAAACACAAGACTATTGATTGAGTATGGTATTGAATTTAATCAAATTAGACTCAACTCAACCCGTGAACACCCTTATCTATATACTTTGTTATCTTTATCTTTAAATAAAATATTATATTTATTTTAATTTAAATAATTTCTATTAATTATATATTTATCTTCTAATTACACTAAAACTTAGCAAAATATAACAATTTTCTATGTTTAATTTATACCAAAAGAGAATCACATTATGTAGTAATTTATAATGAATCAACATACAAATAAATTAACACAATCAAATTTATTTTCTTTTACGGGAGATAGATTCGATTATTCGATAATCTTTCTTTTCAAAAAAGTAAAAACATTAGAATAATAAACAAGGACAAGATTATCACTTGTGATCGATCTCTTTTATGTAGAAAAAATTAAAGTAAACTAATCTTATTATTTCCCTGGTCTACCCTCTTATCTCACTCTATGAAACACGTTCTTCTCCAATTTAATACAAAGAAAGTGTCAAAGAAGCTACTTAAACAGGGAAATCGACAATATTACGAAGCTTCTTCTGCAAAATTTAGACGAAGGTTCTGATCAATAAAATAACCACACTTCTATTATCTAGGAAACAACAATGAAATGTTAAACAATAGTCCCCATATTAACTAGTACCAATATCTCAATCTCATGTCATAAATAGTTTAAAGTTTATACACATATATAAATTTAAAAACTATAATTGAAATTATAAACTATATTAAATATTTTTAGATATTATGCAATAATCAAACTATACATAATATCAAAGAGTATAGAGCGTGGTATAACAGACACGACTAATCAAACATGTCAGTTTTGTCCATAAGTACACGTTAAAATTTTATATTTATATTTTTTAATGTGTTTGTCTCGTTTTAGTTTTTGGAGATTTTTGAAGAAATACATATATTAATATAAATTTTTTATTATATTTTTAGATATAAAGTTGCAATGAAGTGCAGATCTACCCACTCATATTTTTATAGAAGATGTTAAAATTTTAAACTCACATTTTCAAATATGTCTACTCCACTCTATTCTTTTTTACAGATTTTTATAGAATAAAATTAAACGGAACAAATATATTTGTTTATCATCCTTATTTAAAAATAATAATATGAGACGATAAGAAATATGTTTTAACTTAATAAGATATGCTGAATGTGAACCCAGTTTTAAGCGTACAATAATGTTAACCTTAAATTTTATTAGAAAATTTTACTGTCTTATAGTTTTCAGTTTGATAGATTAATATATGCAATCTGTAGAGGATACTCAATTTCTATAAAAAAAAATTATTTATAATACATAAAATTATGATATAGTAGTAGCCATTGGGTTTGTGATTCTTGCGATTCTTAAGCCTTAATCTCCGTTCTCGAGCTGCTTAATTACTACGGACATTACTTAGTATATAACATATTACATAACATAATAATAAAATCATTATAAATTAATTAAGTGATAATAAAATGTATAAATTAATCAAGTGATAATAAAATTGTAGAATTTCAAATCAAGCAAGCGGGGTCTTATCTCCAACATATTATCCACAAAAGAAAAAAGATCAAACAATCACTATTTAAATCAAAAAAGTTTATATGGTACACCTTTAAATAAACCAAAAAACAAAGGATAAATCAGTAATTCCACATAATAATCCCACCCTATAAACTACACACACTGATTCCATTTCTATCCATCATCACCACAAACAAAAAAATGTTCACTCCATCTCATCTCAAATCCTTACACCCTCTTCAAATTTTCTCCCCAAAATCATCCTCAACACATTCCATGAAACTCAAAAGAATCATCCACACCCTCTTAGTTTCACACTTATGTCGAATATTTCGCGCAATCTCTAAACTCAAGCATTTCATTATCGAAATTCTCAAAGACAACAACAATAACTCAACCATCAACTTCACTTACTATTCTTCTCACAAGAAACGTAACAACATAAGAAAAAAGATCATTTTAGGCTCCTTTAGGCTTCACTACAACTGGTGTTCTTCAAAATCATCGCATGTTTTGCCAGTTCCGGAGCCCGTTTACGAGACTCCGGACGCGAATCTTGCAGGGTATTTAGAGTGGCTCGAAGAGAAGAAAATTCAAGAGGGTGCAAAAAAAGAAGAGATTGTGAATGATAAAGAGAATATTGATATATTAGCTGAAATGTTTATTGCTAATTGTCATGAGAAGTTTAAGTTGGAAAAACAAGAGTCTGATAGGAGGTATCAAGAAATGCTTGCTAGAAGCATGTGAAGTTAATTGAGCTAGCTAGCTAGATGCAACTTCTTTTTTTTATAAGGTGTTTTTCTTTTGTAATATTATCACTATTTGATCACTTGTAGTAGATTTTGTGCTTTTTCTTATACATTCAAATTCAATTTGGGTGGATTGGAATATCGATGGATTTTATTTATGGTGGTTATATATATTTTTTCTTTTTTCTTTCTTACTTAAATTACACTTTTCAATGGGTCTATCATGAATTGTGTACTTGGTGGTATGGGGAATTGTGCAATTCATCATATTTGCAGACTTATTTTGATGAAAAGTGCAGTTTTAAATTACGTAGATCTCACTCTTTAATTTACCATTCTCATTATCTATATCCTATATTTAAATTGAAGTAAGAAATTGTAATATATATTCACTTTGGTTTTTATTATTATTTTTTTTTAATTTATTGAATAATTAAGATATTTGATTAGATTTATTAATCATTTAATAATTTTGAAAAATATTTTTCTTAATAATATAAACTAAAAAAATATTATTTTTATTATTGTTGATTGTTGTCGTATAATTGAGAAGGACCTTGGGACAAAGACAAGAGATATATGCTTTGTCGTTTTCGTGTCGTTTTTTAATTTATTTGAGCGTTATTTTTTTGGTTTGATTGTTGTTTGTCTAGATGTATTGTCTGAATTTTCTGATTTTCTATCCATAATGTGTGATCGTAGATAAAGCGCATACTGAGTGGAAAAGTCGCGGGACTTAATTAACTACATCTCTTGGATTTTTAGATATCAATCAACCCTTCTCGTAAAGATTATTATATTCTAAGAAAACGTATTCACTCGATTCAAGATCCCTAAAACTATAAATACACAGATATCATGATACTAAAGAGAAAAATACCAAAAAAAAATACAATCTATATAACAATGTATCACCTCCTCTGAGTTAGCTTCAATGCCCAACAATTTTAAAACCTCTGACAAACTTTATTTAATAAAAATTATCCTGCATATCATACTAAAGTATATTGATTTAGTAGCCCACTTATACTCAAATAAATATTTTAAAAAAATTGTAGCAATCTATATGTGAACTTAAAATTTCAGATGAATATGTTTTGCAGTAACTACTATCATGAATATGTTTTGCAGGCAAACTACTAAAATTTGTAGTTGCAATTGCAACCACAATTCAATGTATACACTTCATTTTTCTGTATTCATTCTATAATCATAAAAATTGAGATTGCATTTGCATTTTAAAACCAAGTTTAATACTTATATAGATTAAAGTCGTTTTTAAGAGTGTGCAAGTTAATCTTAATTACATGATCTAGAATTTGTTACTGTGAAATAATAATTAAATAATATTTAAAAAAATATTATCACAATTAAATCAGAATTATCTAATATCTTTATTTGCGACTAACTCCTTAAAAAATATGAAAAAGATTTGATAAGATTAATGTATGTGTCGTGTATATTCAATAAGTAAACATATTTACCAAATCAATTGATATCCTCGTATAACTTTGATTAATATTAGAGTCAAAATTAACTCAAAATAAACTCTATTTCTTTTTTAAACTGATGTGTCTATATCTAATTAAGAAGCTGTTCACATTGAAAGCCATACAAAATTATACGGCGCCATGTCTTCCGGACAATTAAAATATAGCCATATATAAGTGGACAAGAACATCTTATCCATCCTTAAACTATTTTTGGTTCTACTCTCTTTGTTTGTTACTTCATGTGTTGCTTAATTCCAAATTGAATCAAAACGAAATATCATGTTTCTAATTCTTATACTCAAAATAACCCTTTTGTTTATCACCCTACCATGCACCAATTTTCCTTCACTTACCCCCACACATCCCTTTCTATGTTTTCTCAATATAAATTGGTTATTTTCTGCGTGCGACTATATAAACAATTAAAAAAAATTTAAAAAAAATTTAACACTACTGCATATTTAAGATGAGTTCAAATCTAATATATATATTCGGTTAAATTAAAAAAAAATTAAAAAAAATCTTATCATCTCATCCAAGTGTTCTCGAATACACATACCTATTGAATATATAAGTTACTTTCTTGGAGAGCACGTATATTTAACCTTTTGAAGTTTCTAACTTCCTACCGTATCTCTTGATGATTGCATATAATATATATTTTTTCAGTTTTAGAGCACATGGCAATTGTATAGAGCATGATTTCGCAGAAATTTTAGTTCAATTTGTTAACCATTTTTGTTTCTATCTGTAGTAAAAAGTGGACTTAGTCTGTACCCAACTCACCTGCTACAATTTGTTACTATATTTTTCCTTCTTTTTGAGTTTATATTATGCAAATATTTGATGACATTTCACAAGGAAGTAATTGAGAAATTTTATAAAAAGATACTGAATATGCTACCACATTAGGTGGAAGGTATACACTAAAAAACTAAGAACCTTAACCGGAACTCTCAATTCTTATAATACAAAAATGATGGTCCCCATTAGGTAGGTATAGTACATGGATCAAGATGCACGGACTCTCACACTACAAGACAGCTAGACATTGTTTTGAGAAAGGTAAAGATAATTATATTGTGATAGATCCAACATCTAGTAATTTTCAAACTTAGGACTAATAATAATAATAATAATAATGTTTAAATATAATCCAATTTCAAACTTAGGACTAATAATAATAATGTTTAAATATAACTCAATAAGTTTGCCAAGAACGTCTACCATCTCTATATTTACTATTTGGTAGGATACATAAGATTGATGATACGTAGACATAAAATTCTTCTTGTACGGTTGATTGACCTACCGATATAATGAAACAAATGTATATCTATAACGCTAGCATAAACACATATCTAGCTGTTGACTTTCGATCTTCAGCATCACTACACCAACTCGAATCAGTGTATCACATTAACTTGCATTCTTTTCCTTTATCAGTTGCAGGAAATAAAATGTCATAATCGAAAGTTCTTTTGAGATACCTCAGTATCCTTTTTACTGTTGCTAGATGTGATATATTTGGCTTCTGCATGAATCTACTTATCATACCTACACTGTATGCTAAGTCAGGCCTTGTATGACAAAGATATCTTAATAATCCAATAAATCTTCTGTATTGGGTTGGATCAACATCATCTTCAGCTGCATATTTCGATAGTTGCAGTCTTAGTTCTGCAGGTGTCGAAGTTGAGTTGCATTCTTCCATCTTAAACCTCTTGAGAATTTCTCCTGTATATCTTTTTTGATGCATCATCAAACATCTATTGCTCTTGTAGAATTCGATTTCAAGGAAATATGAAATCTCACCCAAATCAAACATTTTGAATTCCTTGTTGTGATCACCTTTAAAGTTTTCGATCTCACTTTTACAGCTACCTGTTATCAACAAATCATCTACATAGAGACATAGTATAAGCAATTCACTATTGCTTTTTCTTACATATATTCCATGTTCAGTTGTGCACTTCACGAATTCCTTCTCCCTTAGGAAACTATCAATTTTCTTATTCCAAGCTCTTGGAGCTTGTTTCAATCCATACAGGGTTTATGCAGCCTGTACACCTTTCTTTTTTCGTCATATTTCACAAACCCAACTAGTTGTTTAACATAGACTTCTTCGTCTAAGGATCCATTTAGGAATGCACACTTCACGTCCATCTGACATATGTGCCAACTGTTTATTTCTGTTAGACAAACAACCAACCTGATTGTTTCGATCCTAGCAACAGGTGCAAAAACATCATCGAAGTCTATTCCTTCTTTCTATAGAAATCCTTTCGCCACAAGCCTTGCTTTGTGTCGAGTTACTTCCCCTTTCGAATTCATTTTCACTTTGTATACCCACTTGACATCAATTTCCTTCTTACCTTGAGGCAATTCGACAAGTGACCAAGTGTTGTTGTCTTCGATAGACTTCACTTCTTCGTTCATTGCTTTCACGCACTTTGAATCCTTCAATGCTTCAGGTGCATTAACAGGTTCGACATTTGCATAGAAAGTATAATGTAGCAGCTCACCTTCATCATCTGTCACATCATTTAATGTAATCACACAATCTTGCAATCTTGCAGACATGCGTCTTGTTCTTTGAGGTCTGCTTGTACTTGGTATATCTGTTGGTTCCTCTTGTCGAACTTCTCTTTCGACTTGAGTTTCTGGATCTTCAAGTAGGATTCCCACTGAATCTTTCTTGACATTTTCAGTCCAATCTCATTCTTTAAACTCATCTATGATCACGTCCCTGCTGATCACAATTTGTCTTTTCACTGGATCGAACAACTTGTAGCCTCCTGTCAAATGATATCCAACTAGAATCATTTGACTTGACTTGTCATCAAGTTTTCTTCTCAACTGATCTGGCACATGTCTATGTGCAATAGATCCAAATACCCTCAGATGACTCAAGCTAGGCTTCACACCAGACCAACATTCTTCTGGAGTAATTCCTTCTAACTTCTTTGTAGGACATCTGTTCAAAATGTATGTTGCAGTCGAAACAGCTTCATCCCAAAACTCTTTAGGTAAATTCTTGCCTTTCAACATACTTCTCACCATATTCATGATGGTTCAATTCTTCCTTTCTGCAATTCCATTTTGTTGTGGAGTATATGGTGGCACCACCTCATGCATAATCCCTTCCTTTTCACATAGTCGGTCGAAGTCTTTCGACACATATTCTCCACCACCATCAGTTCTTAAAGCTTTGAGCTTTCGACCACTTTGTCTTTCGATCATAGACTTAAACTTGGCAAATACTTCGATCACTTCACTTTTCTTCTTGATCAGGTAAGTCCATAGCTTTCGGCTGAAATCATCTATGAATGTAACAAAGTATTTGTTACCTCTCATCGAATCCACCTGGATTGGTCCACATATATCAGAGTATATGACTTCAAGAATAGCCTTCGATCTGCTTCCTGCATCCTTGTTGAAGCTATTCTTGTGTTGCTTCTCCTACACACATTCCTCACATACTTCGTTTGGAATGTCAGTTTCA